TAACACTCATGAACAGGAGAACGAACAGATGAACGACAAGCGGCGATAAGAACCTGCGAGGTTTTTGTCGCCCTCGTTGGAAACCTTCGATTCAGGTGAATCAGCTTCACGGCAAGAAACAAAATAAGAATGAATGCATTACTGATTCATGGTTTGTTTTAGTCCCGGGGGAAGCACTACCTGTTAAAATATTTCCAAGAGGGGCGTGCCTCTCATTTCAGGTCTGCAGGAAATGAAAATCTGAAGGTTTTCAGAAAAGATAGCTTGAGTATCTGGCGTCTCAGTGGGAAAAAGGGGAAAATAGAAGCGAAAAAGAGAGAGAGCTGAAGGAGAGAAACACCTGACCCAGATGCTTTTACTGGAGCCTTCTACCCCCACACAGCATGATTCGATACCATCCAATCAAAGTCACTTCCGTTCATTGGGTTGTCAGCTTCACGTGTCGAAAAGCTCGCCTAAAATAAATCTCGCCTTACGGTCTGGCCGAGCTCCGGTGCGTGTGTTGCTACGATTTATTTTCCTGTTGGCGAAATACGATGACGCCCGCTTGAGCTCAAGACATTTCAAAAGTGAAAAAAATTTTGAAAGAGGAAGCGAACGAATTCCAATCACGTACGCTATTGTAACCGCCATAAGCAAAGTAAAGCTAAAGCCTTGGTGCTGTCGGCTATTCTCAATACATGGCTACCTCGCTCTAATTTTATTTACAGTAACAATTCCCTTTTAACGGCAGGATGTTGTAAATCAGCACTTAGATATCTGAGGCACTAATATCGTCTTTTTTGTCCCGGTCTTGTGAAACCAATACTCGGACATAGTTTCGGCAGAGGCTTTTCCATACTCCGAGAACATCTTTCCTTTTAACTACGAGGCTTTGAAAACACAATTCTTGCTCGGGTTTTATTTTTATTCTAGGAAAGAACTTGAGAGCGCCCTCTAGAGCTTTTTTGAATTCCTCTCTGGGTCTCTGTCCATTAAAGTACTACATGATATCAAACAATCTATGAAAAAGTTCAATGGTTTCTCCTTGCCGATCGCCCTGCTCGTATTTACCAGCGGTTGGTGACGTCAGGGGGTATTGTGTGTTATCCAATCACTTCCACACCCAGATTTTGGATGTGTCACACGATTTGCTGAATGGGTTTTGTGTCAGGCCTTGTTTTCTCTTCTACCCCCTCCCCCATCTAAAATCTCCCCTCCCCTAGCCCCTTAAGAAGGCCTGATACTCAGGCTACAAAAAAGATGGTCCAAAAACCAGAAGACGACAACAAAAACAGCAATAATAACTTTGCTTGACCATACATGTACACAGTATTGTAAAAGCTATTTTAGGAAATCAAGCCGGAGTACTAAAATTTCAGTTTCTCTGTCAAATATATTTGTCGCGAAAATCAAAGGAAGCTGAAATACCGTAAAATTCCCAAAGTAAGCCCCGGGGCTTATATTTTTCAAAGGCCCTTTTTGAGGGGCTTACTTTTAGAGGGGCTTATGTACGGAGGGAAATTTGCGCTTCAAAATTGATTGGGCTAGCCTTATATATAGTTGAAGGTAAATTTACCGTTTTTGCTTTGTTTTACTTTGTATTTGAGGGCAATTTTCCAAGTATAAGCCCCCGGGGAGCTTATATTTGGAGGGGCGATTTAGTGGAGGTTTTTTTGCGTTACCGGTTTGGGGGGCTTGTACATGGAGGGCCTTTAGCTTATTTTCGGAATTTTACGGTATATTTAATGAACGGTATATTGATATAGTAATAAAAGTTAATCGGTTCACTGATCAAATCGTTTACGGGTTACTGCGTGATATTTTGAATAGAGTCTAAACTTTATTGTAAAAATTATTCCTCACATAGAGTATTTAGGATAATGAAAACAAAAATGAACATTGACTTCTATTTGATTGGCCGGACCTACAAAAAGGGCAATGTCTATTACCTTTAAGTACTGTTTGATCTGTAGTTTGATTCTATTTGACTGTATGTACCTAGTTCTATCAAGTTTGTGGTTGCTTATTCGTAATTTCAGTCTACTGCCGTTGTCTCAGCTGTTCCTTTTGGCAATTAGAAGTAGTATGGTCGTTTTTAAAATAGCTATAAAATTCTAGCCTTTTTGAGAATGTTGAAGGGGGTTTTGTGAATAAGTGATATGTTATAACAAATTTGGATTTGTTCTAAAGTCAGGAAAGTTAAAATGTTCTGAAATTTTCATCAGATGAGAGTGAAAGCTACTTTTACCCTCACATTGTAAATCATATTACATTAAAAAAGATTGCTTGATCATGGCAGTTACGAATGCACTTCCTAGTGACTTGATTCCACTCCCCATTGGTCACCTAGCAAACCTGAACATGCCAAGTGAAAGTTTGACAACCAACTACTTAACCATGGAGGCTCTAGTATCTTAAACCTCTGGGTGGATGGGTTACTCCCCATAATGGTCTATACGGGCAGGCTCCACCCAAGATGAAAGCGAAAGGATGGTAAATAAGTTTGTAAAAAACAAAGCAGGGCTTGTGTAAAGTTTTTACAGATTTCACTCTTTCAAAAATACTTCCTGTGAAGTCTTGACTTGTAAAATATACTGATTTTATTCTATTTTGATCAGCCAAATATAACGTGCATGCCATGTGGGGTGGAAACAAAGCCTGGGCCAGGGCCCATGGGCTATCCCATAGGCCCTCTGTGGGCCACTATATGAGCAACCCTATGGGCCACCCTGTAAATGGGCTGCGAATTAAAATTCAATCAAAAAAGACAATTAAAGACAAAAATATAATATAAACAGAAATAATGGTAACTATGCTTTCCTATACACATTTAATAATAGGCTTGGCTTGCCTTCCCCCTTCATCACGCATTTGCATTGTTCATGGCATGCGGGCACCATGCCCAACCATGCAAGCTAGCTGCGATCACCCTGAGGGGCTGTTAGCAGTCTTTACGACCCTCACTTCCAGTTAAATTGGGGCTCGAAAAAAATTAATTAGGCTCATATTTGGCTTATTTCTATGTCCAGCTTCGGGTCAATGCTCCTGTGGTTATATGAAAAAGATACCAGACAAATTTCATTAGGGAGCATTTAGTAACCACATTTATTTTTTGATGATTTTTTTTTTCAGGCATAGCATTAAAACTTGAAAAAGCTGGCCCAACTTTTTCAAGCCTCAATGCATGTCCATCCTTGCCATCCTTTGCAAAGGACGACAGCAAACAGTTTCAGTGCTTAAATATAGTCTTAAAGAACAAAGCTGGACGTTATTTTTGGAAGTCAATTGATGCAGTTTTAGCTTTTTAAAAAGATAGCAAATAGCGTGACATAACCCCTTTAAGCAAAGGGAACGACAGCAACCTTGCGTGACAATCATGATCAGGACAAAATTCGCAGGTTCGAGCGCTGTCACGTTTGTCACACAAACATTTCGCCGTCCTATTACTCTGCTGGTTTCTCAGCCACTAAAACACTGCATAAATCGGTCTCTTCCGAACGCAACTTAATTCCGCCAGTTTCTCCACTTGAAAACCGAGCGCAAAACTTTTCAAGTCGTTCTTCAGTAACCAGCTGTGGATCAAATACACCGTTTGTAGTCGCCCAGAAAAACAAACACAGAGCTTCGCCATTTTCAAACGCGAGATCATCGTGCTTCTCGTCAAAACTTTTCAGAACGCGGAATCCATTGGCCTCACACAATTTTTCAATGACTGGTCTTGTTTCATGTTCGAACAGGTTAAGTAAACGATCCATATTTTCTGTGTTGAGCTCGCGAAAGACACAGTCAAAGTGAGTAGGCAACCGACCACTGTAGCGCATAAAAATTTTCCCCGTCGGCTTCAAGCTCCTAAACATGTTTTGGAAGGCTTTTTTCTTATCCTCAATGTTCTTTATCCAGTGGAGAACAAAATTTGAGAAGATAACATTTTAAGTCTCCAAACCCAGGCCTGGAAAGCTCAAGGTGCTTCCAGCAGCAAAAGTGAGGTTTTCAGTCTACTTCTTTGTGCGATTCTTGAGCCACTCGAATGCGCTCTTTGTCAGGGTCGAACGCTAAAACTCTACCTTTCGGCCCTACAAGTTCGGCAAGATATGCGGACAGCTCGCCAGTACCACAGCCTAAATCCAAGATATCGTTGCCAAGATATGGTACGACTTCGTTCTCAACAAATCGCTTTCCACCGTTTCTTTGCCATTTTGAATTTTGTTGATAACCTTCCGCTATCTTGCTGGTCATTACACTAGCGGCCCGTAATGATCGACAGAGATTTACACGCATCTTCCTTCGTTCATTGAGTTGAGAAGTGCCGATAAATCAAAGACTGTGCGATCAATCTCGACCTCCGAGGCAGAGAGATTCTTTGATCAACTTGGCCCTAGACCCTAGGAGCGAGGAGCGAGGATGTCTCGACCCCGACCTCGACCCCTCCCGACCGACCCAGACCTCTCGAGTCCCTTAGTCATGGGAGCTCACACAAGCTGTTTGACTATTCGTTTATCAAAATACATCTTATACATCTTCGGAGACCGAGGGGCAAGAGAACGAATGAGCGAGGGGCGGAAGACCTTCTCTTCGTGCCTCTCACTCTCGCGTCTCCTTTCGCCTGCCGCTCAAGCGTGACTTCTCGCGACCCCTCCAAAGGGAGATCTTACTCGCACGCTAACGGCGGACGTTTCTCCTCGCTCATCGCCTTGACGCGACGAACTTGTCGTCATTGCCCCCGCTGGGATTTCGCCCAGAAGGCGAAATCCCGAGGAGGCTAGCCTGCGTATCAAGCGTTTCCGTTTGGTTTCGGAGCAAAGAAAGACCGAGGAACGGGATTCTCGGTGAGGCTACGAGGAGGCACTCTAGTAACTGGCGCGTATATTAAGGAAAGTACTTACAGTTGAATATACAGTCAGTATGCCAGAAAAAATCTCGATTTGCTTGAACAGGGGCCGCGAGGAGTCGGTAGGTAATGATGACGTTTCTATTGTTTGCGCCCGCAAGTACGAAATGGTTAGGATGACGTAAAGACAGAAAATCCCGAAGGGACTGCTTACGTAGATTTTGTGACATTTATTGTGTACGTGTTATCAGTGACATTCTGTGGAGCAGTTGTTTTGAAAGTTATGGACCAAAAGACACTCGTTAAGCGCAGACGAAGTTATAAGGTGCGTATAACTGTGTATATATAAACACTTGGAGAGTTTGCAAGACACGAGATTGGAAACCTTGCCAGACACTCTTTCCCTCTCTTTGACCGGAATAAGTCTCAACCCCAAACAAGCAAGACGAGTGAACAACGGCTAGCTTATCACTAGCAGAACGATGTCCTTCCGCTATAAAGTTTAAAATAAGACTAGAATGCGCGAGCGTGAATTGATCAAACGTCCTTTTAATTTCTAAGGCTTACTTTCCGGCAAATAAAATGAACTGAATGTGAAAAGTGGTTTAGTGGTTTTATGGTTTAGAGTAAACTGTTCTCGAAACTGAGAATGTTTTGATCAAAGCTGTGTAAATGAAACTGTGCATGGAACCTTGCGTTTCCTGTATTTACCTCACCTATTGTATGGAATATGTGTGAAAATCTTCATTATGAATCGGTATATTTCAAAGAGCTACACAACGAGCAAGAATACTATTGACCGACAATATACAGAGCGGGGGCAGCTGTAGTGTCAAGTATTACTAGTATTAGGGTCATTGCGGTAGGTTTATCACGGTGTAACACTTGAACCTGTGAAAGTTTTCTTTGTTTTTAGCACTGCACCTTTTGTTTTCCTAAGTTCTGTAATGTAGACTACTTTGTTTTAGGTCAACCGTGAGTAGTCAGCTGAGTAGTTTTTACCCCGAAAATGAAATGAGGGCAAGAACAAATAGGTCGGACGATAAATTGTGTCGGGTAGAGAAACACACGACAAGAGAGACGCTAAAAAATAAGAATATTTAATTTACAGGAATTTGTTGTACTATAACCAATTATCAAAGGTTTTAGTAATTTCATTAAATCCGCAATTATCTAGGAATTGACTATCCTTGGTTTACAACCACTGACATGACAGAACGACCACGCTGATTGACAAAACATCGCAGAATTTGCATAACAAAAGAGATTGATGTCAGTTTCAGCATACTCTCGGTCAGCGCAGTCGAGCGAAAAAGGGCAAGCAGCGAAAATGCGAGGGAGCAATAAACGGCGGGAAGAGAGGAGGGGAAAACCTGTAACCATCTTTTTGAATACCTCAGTCCCAGCCTCGTATCCAGGCTAGTTCGCGCTATCCGAATCACCAGAGGAGGCTTGGAACCGAGCGCGATCGACAAGCTTGACAGGTGACGTCACATCCGAAATCGCAGAGGACGACTGGGGACGAGGCTGACTGAGTCCGCCTGCTACCCCGCCCACTTCCACAAAACCGTTTCTCGTGTCAAAAGACAAGGAAAGAAAGAAATGTTAAAATGTGGAAATGTGCGGTGTAATAGGGTTTCACAAGCTCGCCACGTTTGTTTAACCCTGCGCGCGAACCCAAGTGATTGACGTAAGTGTTGACGTAAACTGTCAAAATTGACCAGTCACAGGGTATACCAGGAGCTTGTAACCGGAATGAGGCATTGACAACAATGATGCTTAAACGCTCCACCTTCTCGTCTCTTCCCAGCCCCCACGCGGTTTTCGCGCAAAATTTTCTCAAGCCGCTTTCTTTGAGCCTGGAACAGGCTACTTTTGCTCTTGTCAACCAACAATAAGATAGCGTCCAACATGACGTCAGCTGTAAGCCGACAATTGCTCAAAGCAGTAAAAAAAAGATATACGTATATAAATGTACCTTATTCACGATACCGGCCATATTTGCAGCCTCTTAAAGACGACAGGAAAAGAGCGATGCCACGTTGTTTCTCATAGGGCAAACAAGCGCTAAAATCTGCCGAAAAAAGAAATCGCGGACGAGTTTGTTTATCCTAGACAACGGAAAATGAAGAACGTTTTCTTGTAAAGACGATAATACCAAATTTTGGGTTGAAGCGATACGTGTTACTCTACTGAATGCAGTAGCGACCGTAGACGTTCGCACAGCAAACAATAATGATGCAAAAATTGTCGAAACTCGAACTGTACATTTTGCATGACTGAAATAGTCGTCTTGTTTTGAGAGAATAAACAAACTCGACCGCACTTACTCGTATTGGCATCTTTTATGCCTTGTTTGCCCGCTGAAATACCACGTGACATTGCATTTCTTTCATCAACCCTAAAGCCCGTGCAAAGATGGCGGGTATCCTGAATAAGGTCTATTCGTTAAGCTGCCGTTTGGATGGTGCGTCGTGCAAACCTGACTTTTGAATTATGTGTTGTTCCTTGTATGAAATGCGCCTGCAGGGCATGGAAATTTAGGAGAAGCTGATGCATTGCACGTGCAAATCGTGTACAGAACAAACAACCTTGCAAAGATCACTTGTTTACATGAAGCACCACCGAAACAGGAATTTATCGAATATTATGGTATTTTTCGCTTTGGCCAATAGTGCCATTCTATTCAGTGGTCTTCCGGTAATCCAATACATGTGTTATGACCACTTGGTTTCAGCGCCATCAGGCTTTGTAATCCGCTTTCTTATGACAATAAATAGTTTAGATGGTCATCTTGAATTCAGCATGGCCGCAGTAAAGATCTGTTGTAAGACTTGCGGAAGATGTTTAGTGTCCATGCAGACAAACGCTCTCCCTGAAGGCAGCTTTTTTACTAACCTGAGACAGAGGAGAGAATTTAAAAGAATGAATGAATGAATGAATGAATGAATGAATGAACGAACGCTTAATAGTTAAAACGACTGTTAAAGATTCTTCAGAAGTCCTTTCAACAATGTTTACCTGTCTGCCTGGTTACCAAGCGAGCCAATGAAAATGGCGAAGGCATTTACTCGTGCATCTGACGTCAGCGCCTTCCCAAAAGCCTCTGCGGGTATGCCATACCGTTCCAGATTTGCATCGCTGAGCACAACGACAAAATAGTCGTCTGCTTCCTGCTCGGTGATCCGGGAAATTGCTAAATCCGTCGCTTCCAACGTATGATCGCCACTCCAGCAGTACTGCGCATGTGCGTGCATCTGTTTCATGATGTCAAGGCGCTCCTTGTTGCTCTTTGGGGGTGCATCATGGGAGACAAACGGAATTTCGGGAGAATCACCCGAGTGGCCAACGATATCATACTGAGAGGAAAAAACAATCTCGAGTAAAAAGTGAATATTTCGAGGGTTTTCAGTTGGACCGATAACTGTCAAATGAGAAAAGGAGAAAGACTGAAAAACATCATACTCTTCCTGTATCACCAACAGCTTTTCATTTTTTGCGAAATAATGGAAAAAGGAAACAAAAAGCAAACTGCGGTGATAAACATAAGGAAATATAAACGCATTTTTGGAAAGAAATAACACTTTAACTTGACGTTTCGTATCTTCCAACATCATACAATTTCAGAAGTAATTGACCGTTGAATAAGGACAGAAATTTAAAACTAGAATAAGTAACTAGTTAAAGAAAAAATAGATGAAAAAGCATGCAAACTAAAAAATGTAAAGAAATTTGGTATTTTAATTATTTTCATGAAGATGATGATGACGATGTTAACGATGATGATGACGATGACGATGTTGATGATGATGATGATGATGGGGATGATAATTAAAAATGTATTAACGTTTCGAAAGCGTTGACACATCGAAAACGGGATACAGAATACTGATGGCTGATATTAGGAAAAAACAGGCACCTTAATTTTGTTGTCAAACTGATGAAATGCTTCCATCACAAGACAAGCTGCCTCCATCATTCGCCCCAGTCTTCCATCTAAGCTGTTAAACCGATACATGCTGCCGCTGACATCAACCACAAATCGCAGGCGCTTAGGGAGACGCTGAGGAGTTCCAAGCTAAAATAAAACGAACATAAACTTGAAAATAGAAAATTTTCATTCATATGATGAGACATAAAAGATTACTGACTCGCCTGTTGTTTGATGCCAGCTCAAATTTGTTATATATTTGTGGACAAAAAACAAACATGAGACCGTAAGTGTAAAAGAACCTGCACTTTAAGACAAATCTGGAGTTAAAGGGGATACGTCCCCACGATATTGCTGTTTATTTCTGTGCTGAATTCATCACTTAGCACCTTTACCCGTACAAAAACGCTCCTGCAGAGTTATGAAGAAGATGACAAACAAATTTTATCAGGGAGCAGTAACACGACAATTCTTTTTTGGTGATTCTCAAAACGGGGCCCACTCTCTAAACATCTTTCTAAGACGAGGGTTTGTATGCATCACCATTATACGAGAAATGCAGAGAACTATACGACGCCCAAATGCAAGACTGAAAGACTACTTCGTAGTTTCTTTCCAAGTACAATCTTACCTTTAAATAATCATTAGCCTGCATAGATCATATGGTTGCATGTATGACAATTTTCTTTTTTTATTTATTAGAAATCGTTTTGGAATTGTTTGTAATTCGATATTATTATCATTATTGTAACCCAGTCCCTGTTTTTATACGAATTGCTTGTGATCCTAGTTTTTAGAATTCTTGTAACAACATTGTAATTCATTAATTTGCGATGATTCTGAAATTAAACCTTACTATACTATTTTTGCAGCCATAGCACTAAAACTTGAAAAAGTTAGCCCAACGTTTTACAAATTTCAATACGTGTCCTTCTTTACCATCCGAGAGCAACAGACGACAGAAAATAATTTCAAAACCTAATAATTGTAGTCTGAAATAACAAAACTGTACCTTTTTCGGGAAGTCAATTGACGCGAAGACAGTTTTAGCATTTTAAAAAGATAACAACAGTGTAACATAGCCCATAACAGTGGCGGGATCTAGACCTTCAGATAAGGGAGGGGGGTCTCAAATATTTTTTTCGGCCCTTCGGGCCTCAGGTTGGTCTAAAAATAAGGAGGGCGGGCCCCCCCGGTCCCCTCCGCTGGATCCGCCACAGCATGAAGAACGTGTATATAACACTTTAATGCTATAGGTATTATTCGCCTTATACGCCAATCACATGACATTTTCAGGAAATTGATCCTTTGTCTTTTCTTGGAAATTAAGACACGTGCGATCAAAATGAGACCCGCTGTGAAAGAAACTGTCCCCTTGGGACTATCACATGATCTAACATAGCACAAAAAAACCAACGAAGCAACTGAGTTAAGTCTACACCTAGTCGACGAAAAGACTAAAATACGATACCTCTGGATCTTCTTCTCCTCGTTTCTTGTAAATCGCTCTTTCTCCTGTCAATCCCTCAATCAACTTCCCATCATCCAGCTCTCCCGAGGTCTGGTTTCGAAGCCACACTCGTTCCTTTCCCCGCGCTTGTAAACTGTCAAGTATGACGCGTAGGGACTGGACCTGGCGTCGCACACGTGACGAGAAAGACTCGTACATTTCAGCATCGTACTCGCTCATCTGGATTTCACGCAACCTAACGTCAGATATAATTAACATAAAACAAACGATTGGGTGGAATTACTCTTGATTAGTTGAGCGAGGTGTAACTCTTGCGTTCAAGCGCCACCTTTCATATTTTATATTTACGCACGTGAAAATTACGCGACAGCCGAACTCCACCCTTAATCACACCAGTAAGTTCTTTTAAACGCATAGAAACTTCTGCATTTTATGCTCTTGCAGAGACGGCGTTAGAAAAGTCCACACGTTTACGTTAAAAAGACTTTTACACCTTCTTTTACAAAGCAATTAATCTTAACACACTATCGAGTGGGGTGCCAGGTGCATGGTCTTAATTCCTTGTGAGACAGTGGTTAAGGGTTTCATGCAGTAACAATCAGTTGGTAAAGCGTGACCCAGGAAGTTGGGGAGGATAAGGGTATCATTCACTTTTTTCCGCCTATCCGTAACATTTGATCCTTACTACTCCTATGCTTCATAAAAGGCACACCAGTATAAAAGCACACCAGTTAGCTCATCACGATATGGTAAATGCATCCTACGAGTACTAAAGGAAGACAGAATGCAGTGTTAAACCATGAGTAGTTTCTAACCTCTGCTTAAATGCACGCCGTCCCATTTCGCGAGCGGCACGCTTGACGTCATCAGGCACCGCGTCCTTTTCTTCATCCGATAACTGATGTACATCATGCCCCGCGTCCAGACGATACGGTCCGCCTTTGCCTCCAAGCCCGGCAGTATCTCGGCCCCCGGTACCCCCAGCCCAAGTGTTCCCTCCGACGTGTGGGGCGTTATTTGGGTCCACCTGAAACACAATAGGGGATTTAGCAAAGACAATAGAGACCTTTAGAATCAAGGACGAGAGCGAATACTGACGCGGAAGAGCTTTGAGATAAAGTTTTCTGGCGTGTATTCTCAAGATGTAGACACACTGGAAAGCTTCATTTTAACTTTTTGTCATCAGAAAAGTTAACATGGTTATTTTTATTGACGGAGATTAAGCCCTCTCTCGATTACAAAATGATAAACTAGAATCTTCGGACATAATAATAATAATAATAATAATAATAATAATTTTTTTAAAAAATAATAATGTAAAACTTTATTCATAGATTTAAAAAAATAGACTATTTACAGATTCAAGAATATGAATATTAAAATATATACCCTATGTACATTCTTCTTGTGTACGAAAGAGAATTGTCGCAAAATGACTATCTAAAAACTACCAATGACAATTATAAAAAGCATCAAAAAGTTAATAAAAAAATAAAACTGTCTAAAAATAATAATTCAAACTGATAAAAAGTTACTACTTAAATTCTGGCTTGCGCACTTTCCGATGTAATGTCAATGTCAGATATATTGGCTGCTCTTCTCTTTATCCTGGTTCCTCTGAGACACAGCAAGGCTGATCGTAGGATGGCAAAGGATACTTTCGCCCTTATCCAAGATATGGTTGTAGCGTAGTCATCTACTTTCTTTAACAATACTACTACTACTACTACTACTACTACTAATAATAATAATGCCTTTATTTAACGAGTGTAACACTAATTAGCCCAAGGCTAATAAACTTGTGGCCCTCAAACAATATAGATAGCTTGTTTTCGTCACTACGGCATTTTCGCTAACACCCGGTAGAATGACGACAACTATTGCGTCTCCCGCCAAAATGACGCTGGTTCACGCGCGCACACTACTTCGTATTGAGAAAATCTCGTTCTTGTAGTGATCCTCGTCTTACACAATAGATATCTTACCTTGCCATGTTTCGGACTGGTGACGTCTTCTCCGCTTTCCCTGGAATAATTTACCTTAGAGACAAGAAAAGGAGAAAAAAATGTAAATGTGATTTGTTGGCCCACAAAACTTGTAAGAACTCACTTTTGCGCGCTTTCAGGATTTCTTTTTTCAGGACGAGGCAAGGCTAAAACCGGAGCACCCAGCGAAAGCCCTCTCGGAGTAAGAAAAAGAACCAAAACAAAGTCAATCCACATATGGCATTGCTTACAGGATACGACTCCGAGCCATACTCAGGTAAGTTGCGACGGCTCTCATCGCTGCCATACCCTTGCTTCCCACCCCGACGCGTACAAAATTCGTCGAAAAGACGGTGAGGTATAAATGTTGGTGTGAAAACATGTCATTGGCCGCAAAAATCCTACCTTCAGCATTAACTTAGTTTAGGTTGTCATATTATTATTACTTTAATGTTGAAAGGCCCCCAGTGATATCCGCATGGCCGAAGTGATCTACCCTGTTGATATAACAGTACTAGTATCTTTCTATCTTCACAAAAAAATCAATTTTAGATTTAAAAAGCTTTGTTTCGAGCCATCTCAGGTTTCAGATGGCGACTGAAAATCTCCAGGAACATACTTGTAAGGGCCCATGATAGTCTTCGCCAATTAGTCCCTTCCACTTCTCCAATGAACGTACGAGATTCGACACACCAGTCTCCCACTGTCTTACTCGGCCCGTCGCGTCCACAGATACAACGCCTTCGTAGGTCGTGGGTGCCATGACTACTGGTTTTCCCGCCAAACGCGCGTATAGCAGCAGGTCATGACGGCCTGGGAATGGAATGTAACGAACAGATCTGCAAAAATATAAAAATTCTCTGGTTTCAGATTTGTTTGCTGGAAAGGACTGGTTTGCTAATTTCTTACTTGAAACTACCAAAAGTAAAGACATTAATTCTAAAATCACGGCTGTATGACTAATATATGTCTCCAGTGCGTCATTATTTTAAGTGGCAAGCTGCAATGATAATGATGTAAGAGATTTACACTTTGACAAGTGCACACGTCTTTAAGCTAACCGCAGACTAGAACAGTGATAACCTTTGAAAAACAGACGTGTTTTATAGTTTCCGAAAGCCTAAATTGCAATCTCTTTCAATACTCTTCAACCATGTCTATCTGTACCTGTCGTGTTTACTTAAGGGTTTGGTGTCTGTTTCTCGAAAGTTCCGATAATTAACGGGCCCGCAAAGCTGTTGTTGTTTACATGCAAGATAGAGGTTTCAATATCTTGGCATCTAAGATGATAAAACTATCCGTTAATGAAACAAATGCAGTCGTTTGCTAGCCAGGACCGGCACTTTTTTTCTTGATATTTCGATTTGAATATTTGATTTCGGGCCCGAAAAGTTACCGGGACTTTCGAGAAACCGGCCCCAGTTTACGTAGAGGTGGGGGACCTTGGGTAGGTGAGGTAACTCGCTCAAGTGGGGTAAAAAAAACCACCCGTTTACATGCAACAACCCTTGCCGTCCCGGGGTGCACTTTCTCAAGATTATTGAATTATTGAGTATTAACAAAGTAGTTTAATTGGCCAGTGATTAAATTTTAGTTCTTATTGCTAAAACATAATTATAAATAGCTTTTGCAATACTGTATGTACTTGTATGGTCATGCAAATAAAGCTTGTTGTTGTTGTTGTTGTTGAATGCCTGGCAAACGACGTGCTATCGGGGTTAGTGCTCTTCTACTCTCACTTTCTGCTCTTGCTGCAACCTGTCAGTGCTATGGCTTTCTGTTGTCACTTTTAATGATCAAAGCCTCGCCAAAGGCAGTTGGCACGAATTTTATATAACACGAGTCCAACCCCGGATAAGAGGGTAACCCGGCCAGGCAGACCGGGCAATCCACCTCGGCAGGTCAACCCTCGTATCATGTAAACGTGATCAAATTAGAATGAGAGACAATATGGACAGGCGGGTTACCCCACCTAAGCTGGTTACCTCACCTGCCTGGGGTCTCCCACCTCCGTGTACACAGGCCCTAAATGTACTTTCACTTAATTTGGTGGCCATTTCCTAATAGCTGAATTTGGCTAAATTACTTTAAATTGCTTGTTTGGAAAAGAAACGTTAACATTGTGACAACGGCAAATATCGATAGATAGAAGATCAAGTATAAAACCTACCTTCTTCCAACATCCGCAACCTCCAGGTATCCCAGCGGGCTTTGAGGCCTGATGTATCGAGGATCGTCATCTTCCGATTCGTCTTTCCGTATTGAATTATCGCTCTTTGGAACGCTAGAGCCCGGGACAAGACGGACAACTTGAGCCGCGGCGGGCAAACAAATGGGAGGGACTGTGTCCTCCGAGATAAATTGGTCAATGGGTGGTATCACCTTGGGCTCTGAGAGTGAAAAAAAATCCTGAATTGGTCATTTATTTTTCTGCATAATTTTAAAGCGTGTTGAAATTGTTTTGCCACGATGTCAAATGAGGAAGAAAGAAGGTTTATTCACAAGAAAGTTGTAATCAAACGGTTCAGTCAACAGGCAGCATTGAACAACGTTAAACGACGTTCACCCGTTCAATCAAATTTTTTAACGACGCTCAATCAAGGCCTCGTTTAGTAAAATTCAAAAATGTTAAGTGAAAAAAAGTTAAATAAAATGCAATTTGGCAATGGGAAACAACGGGGAAAGGAAAATCACCTCTAAAAACAATTTTAAAATTGCATACAAATTGGAGGTGTTAAGACCCGAAAAGAAGGCATAACACTGCATGTAATACTGCGTACACCACGTTTAAATGGACCAGCTACATGTTGAAATATAGCGGGCAACGAGGACTGGAAACATGGCGCAACATTGCCTGCAATATTCTGGGCAACGTGTTTCAGTGGAGGTTGCTACATGCTGCAGCATTAGGTACATAGAGGACTGGAAAAAGGATGCAACATTGCCTGCGATATTGCGTACAACATGTTTCAGTGGAGGTGGCTACACGCTGCATCATTACGAGCAACGAGGACCGGAAACATGGTTTCAACATCGCCTCCAATATTGTGCGCAGCTTGTTTCAGTGGAGGTTGCAACATGCTGCAACATTACGTGTAATGAGAACTGGAAACGTGGTTTTTAACTTGCTCTGCAACATTGAGTACAGCATATTTCAGTGGAGGTGGCTACACGCTTCAACATTACGTAAAACGAGGACTAAAAACATGGTGCAACATTGCCCAAAATTTTGCGCGCAGCATTTTTCAGTAGACTCGCTACACGCTGCAAACATTGCCTGCAACATTGTGTGCAGTGGAGGAGGTTACACGCTTCAAACGTTAAGTGCCACGAAGACTGGAAACATGGTACCCTTGCTCGTACCTCTTCTCTTCCCCCCAACCCCACAGAGGTTTTCGAGTTGTTTCTGATAGTAATACTCACCTGACTGTGAAGTAGTGTTTCCTTGTTCCTTTTTTTTCTTAAACGAGTAAAAACTAACCGGTGACTTCTCAAGGAGCCGATCAGGTTCAGTCACAGCTATCGTAGCATAGTCTTCGGATCCGACCAGCAATCGATTACTTTTCGATCCTTTCTCCTCTCCAACTGCCGAAGAAAGAGCCCCAGGCGGTAAGCTGCGAGTCGATATCGACTTCCAGTCTTCGTTCTCTACTCCGTCCAAGTTATTGCTTGTAACTGGATGAAGCACGCAAGGCACGAGAGCTTCTGGGTATGGTTTTGTAAGAAGGTACTTCCGGTCGGTCCCAGTCTCACAGACGAGCCACAGGTCACGTGAGAAAGGGTGAAACTTTCCGATAACAAATGGCATGGTAATGTGCTGTGTTGTTCCGTCCACTAAATCCACTACATCCATTTTATTACTGTCTTCTTGGTAAACGACAATCTTGTTTTCGTGCGCAAACTCTGAGCTCATAACAAACTTGCCCTTTTCAATCGAAAAGTGGCGCGTTAGTTTTTCTTTGGTATTGTCAACAATGGACTTAAAATTCAGAGAACGAAGTTCCTTGTTTAAAGGGCTCAAGAGATAGAGTGAATTAGAGTCCTGCTCGTGAATAAGCACCTGGCCCTGAAGGTCCCCTCCTAAAGCAGCCATTTTGAGGGAGGGTTTAGGGTAATAAGATCTTGGAAACAGGTTATACAGGTCCATACACAACACTGAATCCTGATTGGTCTGTTGTGAGTAGAGTGAGACTGGGTTAAATGCCAGGATGTGGACCCAGTCTCCCTTATTTCCCCCTAGAAACAAATTCAAAACAAAATGTGTTTCTTAGGGCCTCTTTACATGGAGTGGGGGACCCCGGTCTAGTGGGGTTGGTTTCTTTTGTTTTCACGCTCTGGGGGACACAAAACAAAAGAAACTTACCCCACTAGACCGGGGTCCCCCACTCCATGTAAACAGGGTCTTAGAGGGGTAAAACGAGTATAATGTGGTTAAAGAAACTATGTCGGGACACTAACTGAGAACTTAAAACGTGGCTTAATATCACCTAAATGTCAAAAATTATGGTCCACTTTTACTTTTAAAGACTATATTTGGGCACTAAAACTTTTTTCTGTCGTCTATTTTTACGGATGGTAAGAAAGGACATAGATCTAAACTTGAAAAAATGGTTTTAAGGCCATGTCTGCGATAATCACCAAAAAATTATTATGGTTAGTCGGCTCCCTGATGAATTTTTTTTGATGTCCTATTTATAATTATACAGCTAGAGTATTTTATTTTAGGATCAAGGTACAGATTAATGGCTTCAGAACAGAACTGAAATAAAACAGCAATATCTTTGTGCATAGCCCCAATGAGTGTTCGGCGCTTTCAGAAATGTTCTATGACAGTGAGGGAGAGTTAACATACACGTCGTCGGTTGCCACTAGGAAACTTAAGCACCAGACGTTCTTGGTACCACGGACGCCAACCGGAAGTATTTTTGCAGCATGTCAAGACGTTCTTGAGTTGCGGTCACGGACTTCAAAACGTGAGTTCTCAGGCTGAAACCAGAGGTTCAAATTCTGGGTTCTTCAAAGAGTATTCGTCATACAAAAGTAAAAATTCTTCGCCTGAAATCATGTTTTCTTCGAAAGAAAGAAACAAATCTTTGAAAGACATTTTCAAATGAATTATTCTGTAGGCGTTCGTGATCGTTTCACGTTGGTGTGCTTAATGATTTGCATTTGGCGCGTAAACCGCGTCCCCAATCCAGTTCTGCGCCGCCAGCCATGCCGTCCGTGAATCAAGAACGTCTGGTGGTTAAGTTCCCCACTAGCCCTCATTTACTGTCATTGACAATATTTCACTCGTACAGGGTTTAAATATCTCGGTAACCCCAAGCTTAATTTTCCGTTTCCTCGAGATTACTCATAGTCATTTCTCGAAGAAAAGTCTGCAACACGTCTACTTTAAAACTTACACCCGAGATCCCAAGAATGGCACTTTGTTTGATGGGAACAAAAGATTCCCTTCCCACATATCCCTGCGCCCTTAAAACATCTTACCAGGCCCAACAGCGACGTCCATGACCACCCCTCCCTCGTGCATCGGTAGATCCCAGTGTCCCACTTGTTCTGAGAAACCATACGAACGACTATTGACTCGCTCAATTTCCCTGGAAGTTATGGCAACAGCCATTGGGCCCTGCGAAGCAAAGGGTAATCAAAACAAATGAAAGCTACATACTTGCAAAAATGACTTTTTCCCTAGTTTTGGGAAAGTACACATTTTTAAACTAAATAAGAACTACAAGAGACAAGAGCTTTAAGGAAGCTTTAAGAAGTCAGATTAGTAAATCTGAAATTTGTGAAACCATTTGCGTTCCAAATATTCTGTGTTAAAAAAGCTTCACATTCGCCACATGACTTGCGTTACAGTTGCAACTCAAAGAGTCGTTTCGTTTCCAGTCGCATATTAAAAACAATGCGTGTCCTAAATGTCACACTGACAAGGATTTGTGTCAAATACGCAGTGGCGGATTCAGGAGAGGGGCGCCCGCCCCCCAATTATCTTTAGACCAAAATGAAGCCTAGTCTGGTACACAGCCGTTTTTAGTGTCGTCACGCAACTCTCCTCCCCACAGGAGGAGCGTTGCGTGACGACACTAAAAACGGTTGTGAAGCAAACTTACTGAGGCCCGAAGGGCCGAAAAACCTTTTTGGACACCGCCTCCCTCCCCCCCTTATCACAGGGTCTGAATGATCGCCGCCCCCCACCCCCTCCTCCCACCCTTATCTCAAGGTCTGGATCCGGCACTGATACGTGTGATATGCAAGACGAAAATTAACCAAATAACCAGTTAACATGCAAGGCATTACCCCTGAGTAGGCCCCTTTACAGAACTTGGTCACGTGCTTGGATACCAGTTAGCAACGGCTCGCTGGATGGCAAGCCATCCAAGCGTTCATTCCATGACCAAGTTCTGCAAAGGACCAATACATCCGTGAGAAGCTAATAATCACACAAGTAAATCTTCGGTATTTCGTAGAGTAGCTTCTCTTGAAAACTTCTTTCAAACGTGCCTATGCGGTGTCTGGCAAAAATTCCGACACCAATCCAAACATACCCTAATCTTAAGTCTTCTTTCCTCAACAGGGCAGTTGATTCCAGCATTGAAGCCATCTTCGTCCCCAGGGATTTGCCAGGTAGAGACCAGGGTTGGAGGAGGTAGAGGAAACCTGGACACAACATGAAAAGGATCCTTGTTTAACCGAAGTTTACATCGAACAGAAAGAGAAACTCTGGTTGGTTAACGCCTCCTTTGATCCTTACTGTCGGTAAATAGCGCTACTTAGAAACGAATACAGGGTAAACACACGAGAAAGGACACAAAAGAGGCATTGACAACAGAGTTTTCTTTCTTTATTCAAAATCCTTAACGACGCAATTACAATTATATACAGATGACGAACTTGACAATTAGGTAAACTACCCTTGGTACAGTAGGTCAGCTAGCCCCAATTTGATTATCTTTTTCTGCCTCTGAAGCTTACCCAGTTACAAATTCACTTGTGTTTAAATAAGTCTTTTACAACTCGGATCAAAGGCGAACGTTTGAAAGTGAATGAAAAATTAGAATACTTAAAAACATTAGTCCTAAGAAAATGAATGTTGTTCGAACCTGAGCCGGATTGGAAATGAAGGAAAGGGGAATTGAAAATATGGAAAGTTAAACATTTTTTTGGTAAATAAAATTTTAAGGTAGTTATGGGATAAGGCGGTTAACTACAATCAATAGTGAGTTAACGCAAAAGGACTGCAGAAAGAAGAAGACGGCAAAACACTTGTGTATGAAAAACGTGACAGGGCTATTACTTGCGTGTTTTGTCGTGATCTTCAACTAAACCAATGTTTTCTGGTTCTTTACAAAAAGATCTGTTTAAAGGAAAGTGAAGTTTGGCGAAAAGTTGTTTCAAACAAAATTATTGTCACGCTTGTCACACAAGGTTTGCCGTCTTCTTTCCTCTCCCGTCCTGTTGCGTAAGTGTACTAAATTGGCTGATTTAGCAACAGAACGGGAACGTCATTTGACGACGGGTAAGCGCCCGGAAAGGACGAAACTCGACTTCCGGTACCCAATTGCCGCTCTGCCATTGGTCAATTCAGTTGTTTGATTTGCGCGCGCAGTCGTCAACAGACGTTCCCGTTTTGTTGCTAACTCAACCTAATCAATCGACGGCGACGACAACGGGAACATCTAAAACGCTACAGATTTTATGAGCACTCTGAATCACGCTTTTTTCTACATTTCTTTGCCGTCCCTGAAGAACAACGACGTGAAACTACAAATGTCCAAATTTTGAGTTGACTTGAGAACGGGAACGGCAAGGCGATGAATTTTACTCTCTCTCTCTGAACTCGGACGCGGTCCCCTCTCTTCAGTCCCAACCTAACTTCCCTACTTTCAAGTAACTGGGTGACTTGGTAAAGGGGCGAAAAAGTTTCAAAGGAAGCGAAGTCCATTTTTCAGCAAAGTTTTCATTGGCGTCGCCGTTGTCGGATTTTAAGGTCCATATTATCTACGATTTGCGAGTGGCTACTTAGCTTTCCATATTGGCGGAGCTTTCGCGCGCGCGAAGCGCGTGCATCGGAGCACCATTGATAGGAAAATTTGGTCATCTATTTTACTTTCTGACAAAATCGTCCGTACGCACGTCCACCTTTCCATGTTAGCGGATGGGAAATGGCACACTAACTAGCTAGAAGTCCAAGGCATATAATCTTTTTGTTTAAATTTGGTATTGGACATCTATATTATGGTCAATTGACAACTGTCAAAAAAGGTATCCGCTGACCAGTGTTACATGACTGTATCGTGAGCTCAGGTATTCAACTCATTGAGGTAACGTATTTTTTAAAGTTATCCGCTGAACGGTTTTTGGTTTATAAGGTGAAATTCAGTTTGCTTTCCCTTACTTAAGAAAGATATTTCTTATTTGGCCTTGGCTAAATCTATACGTTATGATACTTTTTCGAAAACCACTCATAAGGGGATCCAACTCTCAATCTATTCCTTAGGTTTTCTTTTAACGCTCGGATCATCAATTCTTACTCTTTGGAAAGGTTGATGTTTGTCAGAGAAGCTCCCACAGGGATCCCGTGCTTATGCATTACTTCCGTTACAACTTCTTTCACTTCCGGGTGGTATGAATCGAAATCGAACACGTTGCGGACGACATTTGCCAAGCCTTCGTTGGGAAAAGCCTGCAAACGAAAATTAAATTGCATTGCGGTTGGCTTGTTTCAAACAAAAACAATACTTGTTAAGATTAACGTAACAGTAGTTTTCGAAAATATTAAGTTCGCCGGTACACCGCTACAAATAGACATTAAAATAAACCTTCCCTACGCACAAATGGAGATTTTTGTGGAGAAAATCCTTAAGTGTGCAGATTCAAATAAAAGGTACTGAGGAGTGCTTTCCGATGGTAATGTTTATCATTTCGTTACAAAGTTAATTCAACTTTTGAGTCTGGATGAGATCTTAAAGTATGACGATTTATATAAAAGATACTGAGCAGTACTTTCCTGTGGTACTGTTTATTATGCGGTACAAGGTAAGTCTAACTTTTGAGTCTGTGGATGAAACATTGAAGTGTTACCACTCAAATGGAAGCTACTAAGCAGTACTTTCCTGTGGCACTGTTGATCACGCTGTACAAGGCGGTTCTGACTTTTGATTCTGTGGATGAAATCCTAAAGAAAAGCCTCATTTAAATTTAAGTTACTGAGCAGTACAAGGGCCCAATGATCCAGGAAATAAAACAGGTAATAGTAGCCGTACCTGTAAGTGTTTGACAACACTGACCACCTCCCTGGTGGAGTAAGGATAGGAGATGAGCCCCTGATCCGCTCGGGATCGTAATTCGCCAAAAGCATTCACCAGCTTATGAAGAAGCTCCTCTGGAACGCTGGGACCGTACTGACGCAACATCGACTGGAGAGAAAACGTGAAACAGGAGGATGTTTTAAAATTTCTTTGGTTAAACAGTGCTAAAATCACTGAATTAAGTTTGGATATCTGATCTCTGTTTCAAAATCATTTTGTTTGAGAATTAATATCAAACGCTCGAAACAGTGTTTTATCGCAATATCAAAGCACCTCGAAGTTCGCTAAGAAATACTTTACTGAGCAACGTTGTTCCAACTCTCTTCTCAGTGTTTGACATACGCCGAAACACTCTTTCTCGTGTGTTTGTTGTATTGCCTTTTTTTTTCCGCTAACAACGATACAAGGGGAGTTCTTTAAGAGGCAAACACAGCCAATTCATAGATATCTCCAGGACTAAGGACTGGTACACACAAATTTAGCCTTAAGTATCTGAATACCGTCTATTTCCGTCTTGCCCTCACTCACCCAAAAGCGCGTGAACAGTGTGCTACTGAAGCGGACAAAGTGTATTTTCTTATTTGGTATGTTCATTGAAGGGAGTTATGTGCTTAACCCTTAAAGCGCAAATACCAAAATTCAAATTCCCATCTGCTGTCCCTATACGTTTCTTATAAAAGTAGTAGTGAGAAGTTGTTGAAGTATCAAATCATTGTATCTTGTGTGATCATGTCCTTAATTCTCATCACCATCTGTTTTATAGGGCATTGATATAACAAGGAGAAATTTCATGCTGAACACTCTTAGGGCTAAAAGGGTAAATAGCAATAGCCTCTTACCATTTCCGACTCAAAGTCAGGGTTATCCACCGCATGACAGCTAAATATATCACCTGAGATGAAGGAAAGAAGGAAAGTGTGTACGGTATTATGCTACGATACTAAGAGCGATCTTCAAGCGACTGCTGCAAGTAATGTTGCATTTTCCTCGGTTTTGCATTTTTGCTATACGAGAAGGTTGAAGAATCAGCCCACTTTCTCGAACAACAGCCCAGGTTTGATATACATGTTTTAAAATTCTGACATGACTCCCAGACTTTCTGGTCATTTTTCTGTATTCTGTTTGGTTCTCTTTGTGCTCAAGTCTCCTCTGCGAATTGCGAGACAATGGAGTCGTTAAAAATTTTCAGTTTTGACTTTTTGATCTCGGAGTCATGTTAGCATTTTAATATATCGAACCTGGGCGATTGGAAAGAAATCCAAACCACTTGCTCACATGACTTTGTTCCCCCGCCCCCCGAAAACGTTGCAAGACGTGTTCAGTTTAGGCGGTGTTGCCCTAAGTAACGTTTCATACTCTGGCCAACGTCTTCCATCCGGGCCAGTCACGAGCGCCATAGAGAAGAAAATAAACCATTCAAAACTCGAGACAAGTACTTGAGGCACGCGGCATCACTCAAGGGAAAAAGGCAAAATAAACCAATCAAAATCAAGGTAAGTACTTGTTGCCAGCAAAAAAACGCGTGGGAACAAGACAGGTATCCACAACTTGTGTCGCAACAAAATTGTAAGGCGAGTTGTATTAAAAATTGCGTTGAGAAGTGGCGAGAAACGCGGTACCTCAATTATTTTAAAATTTGAAACCTGCTGTGCTGTGCGCTACCACCTCCATAAGCTGGGTACACATGTAAAAGGTGAGCCTGACAGAAGTCTGCAAAACAGTTGAAGACTTAAATCTTCTATTTGACTGAAAAAACTCTTACCAAGGGATCCAAAAAAGTCGTTTCCCAAGAAAGGAAATCCCGGACGATTCGCCAGAACGATCATACGGAAGTCAGGGTGGGCTCTGATAGCATTTTCTGGCAACGTTGTTGCTTCACCTCCTGCAGAGTAAAAACATGTCAAATTTCAGCCTCTCGATATAGGGGCGATTAGTTATACAACTACCCGAGAAATTTATTCAATTTAATTGATATTTCACTAATCTGCGACGTTACATTACATATCTAGAAACTAAGACAAGGACGACTACTAGAAGTAGTGAACGCGCTTGAACCAGGGTCATTTTGGCGGGAAAACGCGATAACCGTCATCACTCTACAACTGGTTTTAGCGAAAACGTAGAAGTAACGGAAACAAGTTATAAAATGTTAGAAAGTTTTATCAGTCTACGATCAGAAGAGGGCTTAGCCTCCTTCAACAAAAATAACTGACCCTGCTAACATTTCTGGTAAAACAACACGTAAAATTATGCTTTTCGGGGAGCCTTGTTTTTAGAATACGCGAAGAAAACTTTGGGTAAAATCTAGTCCTAGTCCTCGAATCCAGTTGTCTTTATTACCTGTCACAATACGTCTACCATCTCCAAGAACCATCACTCCACTCTCGACTAAAGATTTTAATATACAGGTCACGTGAGTAGGCGCCTTGTCTGCCTCGTCCACGACCAAAACATGGCCAAATTTGACGGCACGAACCTGGAAAAGTTAAAACACGAAACGAAATAAATTCGATTAACCTGAGAAAACAGCCGCCAACGACACCGTTCTTTTTCCCGCCAAATGATGTCTGAGAAACGACTACAGAAATTCCACTAATGACGTGTCACTACCCAGAACCTAGTGGCGCTTGTGATTGGTTGGAGCAACGACCAGTCAGAAGCACTACCCAGATCTGGGTAGTGGTGCGTCATCAGTATGGAATTTCTGCGCTGGTTTCTCAGAGGTCATTTCGCCAGGAAAGCAGAGGTGGCGTCACGAAAGGTCGGCTTTTTTCTCAGGCTAATTAAATGGACTACGTCCTTAGAATTGTGCATGAATACATTCGTGTCCTTAGTACTGCTACAACTAACCAGCGGCGAATCTTCGTAAATTATGACTCCATCTTGAACGTTCGGCTGCAGTGTGAGGGACTGGACTGTAGTATCCCTGTGGTATTAAGAAAGGAACATACAATCTGCTTAAAAATTTAAGGCTATATCCTATTTTCAGATGATCCAAGATCTTAGCTCTCTGGAGACGGATAAACTAGCCCTACCCAATGGAGAAGCAAGATAAGGGCTATATTTATTTTAACCACTTGGCTTCCGTACAGGTTGTGAGGATGTGTGAACAACAGTCCTCCTATTTAGGACTACCTTCACCCCGACTATCATACTTAACTGTTGGATAAGCGTCGGTCTGCTAAAAAAGAGGCCGCAGGTTCAAGTCTCGGCCGATTCAACACCCAGGGCCTTAAATGAACTGAAGAGAGAGTGCTATCTTCGTAGTGACGTCCGTAAAAGATCAGACTTTGTAGTCTTTTGGCATAAGGACGCTACAATGTACACCCCGTCCGATCTTATTCACTGAAAAATTCGGCAAGTCGTCAAACAGCCCACACACGGTTTACAAACAGTTGGGGACGTAGTCACAGGAGTGGTGGTCTCTCTCCAATTCACATTAGGAGGCATTCATAACTCATTAATTTATCAATAGTAAACTGCGCTACATTGAACATCGTGGCAAAAGTTCATTTCTTTTTTGACAAGAACTGACAATAGGGAGGACTTTTCTGAAAAGGCCTGACTTTTGTTTTCTACGTTAGCTTGTTCTGAAAGTGTTTTATTCCTGCCCGTCTGTTTCGAAGTGACGAAAGAGCTAGTCGATTGTCAGTCACATTTAACTTCAAAAAGGAAGAACATCTTGTGACTTTGACAAGAGTTTGCGGGGCATCATCGAGTATAACTTTTAAAAACAGCCTTGTACCTGTGGAGTTGAATGTATTCCCTTGGGCGATTTAAAAGGTGCAGAAACCTGTCAGCAATCTTGTTTTTTCCAACACCCTGGAATGAAAAGATACATCAATAGACCTTATTCACGATACCTGCTATCTCTGCACGCCCTTTAGGATCCATGGAATAATAGCAATGTCACGTGGTATTTCAGGGTTGGGGGCAAACAAGTGATAAAACATGACAATACCAGTAATCGCGGTCGAGTTGTTTATTCTATCAAAACGAGACGACGATTTACTGGTCATGCACAATTTACAGTTCGACTATTGACAAGATTTACGTCATTATTGTTCGCTTTGAGGACATTTACGGTCGCGACAGCATCCAAAGTAACAATGATCACTTCCACCAATAATTTGCCATTATCGTCCATAACATAAGGAGTTCTTCATTTTCGATTAATTTTACTCGGCCAAATTTTGTCTCTGTCCCATTATCCACTCTTGTTTAAGTATTATTTGAAAAAAAGGTAAAATGATAATTACTCTACCTGGTTCCCGACAAGAAGTAAATGCTCGCCAAGCATGAAGTCCTTCAACATATCTTCCATGACACTAAGATGCTGGAAGAGCAAAACCAAAAAAAACAACAACACGATAATAAGAAGAACACCCGGATTTTCTAAAACTACGAAAGATTTTACTAAAACGTGGAACAGGGAACAGGGAACAGGGAACGAAGAACGGGAAACGGAGGAAGGGGAACAGGGAACGGGAAATGGGACACTGAAAACGCGACACGGGAAACGGGGAACGGGGAACAAGAATGGAGAACGAGAACGGGTAATGGGAAAATGAAAAATGAGAACAAAACCTAAGTTAAACTGTAGCCCTATCAGTAACTTCACATCCCATTCTCTGTTTTGTCAGTTCCCATTTTTCATTTTCCTGTTCCCTGTACTCATTATTGCCGTCCCGGCGATGACAGGGAAAACGTCACCCAAAAAGTGAATTCGCGCTGCTTTAAACTTCTTCGCTTTTATTCCATCTCGTTCAATTTGACAAATATTGGCGAATTTTTCTGGTGTTGAATTCTAAAGGACTGTATCTAAGTTCAAAAAAAGAAATAAATAAATCGTTTTGTCGTGTTCACGTCCTTCATAAAACACGAAATTAGGAAGTTTCACCTCGTAGTCGTGTAACAACGGAACAGAAATGTACATAAAAGCGTGATGAACCTTCAAAGTGCAAAGTTGTTGTTTTGCTAATCTAAGCCCATTGCTTTTCTGCTATTCTCCTTGCCGTCGCCGTCGTCATTGCTAAAGCTCCCTAGTAACATCCAACTACAGTATAGTATATACTACACTGTATTAAGCGTTTACCTGGTGATTTTCATAGAAAAGAACGTCGGGAACTTTAGTTCTGTTTTCCGGGTTATAAACCGGTACTTCTGTCCGACCAATATGAAGATTCCCATCTTTTATTTCACCTGATGAAAATAAAAGTTATCAAAAAACGAAAAGGAATAATTCCTTAGAACACTGGACAATGAGGTCCACCGAGACAGTGCCTTAAGAAACTACCTTTCTAGACACCGAAAGTTCTTACTTCTAACATGAAAAACCGGAAATTCCGGTTGAAAAATCAGATGGTTCGCGCCATTCGGTATGGGAAGCTACAAAAAACATGGGCTGTGATTTGAGGCGATGCGATTTTTCTACCATATTTTAAGTCTGTTTAGCTGGTTTGGATATATTTCGTAGAGGGTCGTTCTCCCACCGTGTTAAATATCAAAGTTTTATTTTTATGCACAAGATTTCCACCTGGGTGGTCTGTGTAAACGGTAAGCACACCGAGTCTTTTTTTTGTTCGCCCGTGCGAGCGAAACGCACGAGAGAAGAAAATGCCGACACGCGCGTGACTGACGGCACCAGACGGGAGAGGATTCTCCAACGCGCGTACTACCCCACAAACAATGAAGAACATTGGGTGAAGTTTAAAATACCATAATATTCTTTAATTTCCCACCGGGTGGTGCTTCATATAAACCCGACTTTTGCAATATCTTATCTCGGCTTTGCACGATTTGCACGTGCAATGCATCAGCATTTAGAAAATTTGTATGAACGGCACATGCAGTTCGTGTAAAATGAAAAAAAAAAGAAAAGAAAATGTAAAAGTGAGGTTGACATGAAGCACCACCCAAACAGCACTGTAAAGAATGTTATGGTATTTCACACTTTGGCCAATTAAGAGGCACTATGGGATAACGTCATTTGTTCAACCTGTCCTAGGTGGGGAAAGATCCTCAAATGCGTTTAAAAGCGGTTAGAACTTGACTTACATGTAAAATCACTATTTTCTTGTTGTTCGTGTTCGATAGCGGCTTTGTCGATGTGTATTCCAGATTCATCCAGAATCTTCTCTAGCGAGGAGGCAGCAAGTCTTGGTAAAAACCTGTCAAAACAAACATCCTTAGCCTGTGATTTTCATAAATAACATGTGATGAATTTTTCTCCAAATAGACCTTTTTAGCTTGTATGCTTTGTTTTCCCAATTCAGACCACGTGATGTTCTCCAGGGAATTTGCCCTTTGTCTTTTCATTAATTATGCATACACATGCACGTGGATACACGTGAATAAGACGACATTTGAAAGAAACAGTTCTCTGGGGTACCATCATGTGGTCTGTAATGGGAAAACAAAACATACAAGCTTAAAAGGTCCATTGCCACCGAAGTTAAAGACACAAAAAAATTGGAAAAATACTTCAGAAACTCTAGGGAGAATGGGTACGATTGGTCGATAGTCAGTTCATGGCAACCATTAACCTCCTCACGCAAGGAGACAAAACGAGGTTCTGTTCTCGGGCTGACCTATTTTATGAAGAGGCAAGTGAAGCTGTGTACCTTGCTAAACAAGCCTTTTGGATGGAATGCTCAAGATCTTCAGCTTGGTAAGTAGCCAGGCGACGAGCGATACGAAGAAGCTGTCTTGTTGACAATGACGATGCAATTGATGAAACCTGAAAGTGATCAGTAATCATACAAGAGTTCATATGGATCGAAATTACTGTGCTAACACAAACCTGTATACGGTAAATGACCTAATAGTTAATTTTAGGGGGTCAATGAGGGGGCGTTTAATAGATAGGGTAGTCATCGTCAGTCTATCCTTACTTTGAATTAAAATTAAACAGGATGCAATGCTCAAACCCTTGTTTTAAAATCAAGTAAGAAACAGTACATTGAATGATCTTGATCCTTTTTGCTATTTCCTAGAATTTTGGAGAATAACTGGCATGGGGGCTTCTATGAGACAGGGGGGCGTTTAAAAGAGATAGGCGTATACTTAAAAAAGGCTCATCGTAGACGAGGCGTTTATTTCAGAGTGGGTGCCAATTAGATCATTTACGTTGTATTGGACAGCTTTATTAAGCGGACACTAGCGAGGGTCCCGCGTGTGTCCGCATAATGTAGGTTTGTCCTAGACCCCGTCTAGACCGGGTCCGGACAAATTTTTGAAAGCACAAAAACCGGTGAAGTGTTGATTTGATGCATTCAAGTTTTGTTTCAAAACAATCAACACTGCTTGGTAAAGAGGGGGACAGTAGAAATGGGCTCTTATGACAACATTTCCAAGCTTTTTTGAGAGGTAGAATATGAGTTATTTAGTAAAGTGCGCCTTCGCGCCAAATTTCCTCGAGTGTCCCAAGATGTTTTGACCAGGGCTACGCGCTTTTGGTGAAAAAAAAATCCATTCTAATGCTGATACTGGCAAAAATTCGTACGGACTCGTGTAAACACTACAGTAACAGAATTTGCACGGTTGCGATTAAACTGGTTGCACAGATAAAAAATTCGTCCGTTCAAAAATTTGCCCGGACCCGTTCATACGTGGTCTCAGTGTAATGTGATGGAGAGAAACCCAAAAGACTGAATACCAAGAAACATCAACGTACCGTGGGATCTTTGGACGATCGTAACTTGTCTGTAAGGTTTAGTAACTTGTCCATGACATCATGGGGACAACCTGGAACCTGATGTCAAAGAGAACAATGGGAGTAACACGACGCTATTCACAATTTTCACATTGCCAACAATACACCATGTTTACATCCCCCCCCGCCCCCAAAATAGTTTGCATAACCATTGTTCCCAGTTTTCTTGTGTATTACAGTCGTTCCAAGAGAAATTGATTCCAACAGAAATTGAAGAAAATGCTTATGCAAAATCGAACAAGTGTAGTTTCAAGATCTTTTTGCCGTGCTTTAAATCTTTTGAATAAGCTTTAACAATGAAGTTATTTACAGGGCATACTTTCATCGCGCTTATCGCAATATTTGGATTTTGCCTTTTACTATGCCATTATGTTCGACTATATTGGAACTACTGAGCTTTCAGAAAATGAACAGTTCGTAGGGTTTAATAAAAACCACAAGCATTATAACCTACAAAAAACAGACGATATTTCGCGGTGCCACCACTGGTTTCCCCGCGAAATGACGTCTGAGCAATGACTGCAAAAATTCCATCTGATGACGCGTCACTACCGAGAAATGGGAAATTCTTCTGATTGGTCGTGCCACGGAGGAAATTTGCCTCAACCAATCATAAGCACTAGTCAGATCTGGGTAGTGACACGTCATCAGTATGGAATTTCTGCACTAGTTCCTCAGACGTCATTTCGCGGGGAAACCAATGGTGACGTCGCGAAATGTCGGCTGTTTCCTCAGACTTTTGCGCAATGAAGCGACTCAAGTGTGTTTACCATTTCGTAGATCACTTGAGCTTCCTCCTGCCTGGATAATGGTCGCACATGATGGAACAAAAACATGGACAGCAGCTCGGAGTTGAGCCACTGCTGCTGAGAGCTTCCGCCAACAACTGGCGGCTCAGCAAGTCCGATGATACGGAATGACGGATGAATGCACAAGATGCCTCTACAAGAGTAAAAACACGCAGCGGCTCGCATAAATGCAAGAACATGGATGGCACAGTTGGTTAGTGCCCGGCCTTTGGTGCGCGAGGTCCAGAGTTCGACCTTTGGTGACATCTCATCCTTGCTTTAACTTTTCTCCTTTCTGTGTACCTTTAACTAGCTTCCGGGCCGTTTACATGGAAGTGAGGGACTTCAGGTAGGTGTGGTACTCATCTCTGATTTTAATTTCATTAGGTTTATGTGATAGGTGGGGTGACCATATGAGAGATTATATGGACAGGCGGGTTACCCCACCTAAGCGGGTTACCTCACCTACCTGGGGCCCCCCACCTCTATGTAAACAGGCCCTTAAATACCCCTCAAAACGGAACATTGATTGAGAGAGGGGGGTAAGTGAGCGGACTGTAGACCCCAAGTTTGTCGGTTTAATTACTGTCACGAGTTACAGATGCAAAATATGGTTGTTTTACCCCCATTTAAACTTTACTTTGTAAGTATAAGTAAGTAAGTATCTAGAGTTTCTTACGGTGAAATGAAATATTATTTAACAATTATTGGACGAGCAAAATGTCGTGATTTGTCAGTGGCGGGAGATCAATTATTGGCTGACACAAATAATTGATCTGCGAGCCGAATCAAGATATTTTGCGATAACCGAATTCAATAATTGTCTTATTACTCGATCACTGAGTTTGTTTTTAATCATTTGCGAAGCGATCTGCCATTTTCACGCAAGAGCGATCGCAAGGAGGAGAACATTCACGCATGAGCAGAATATTATTTGCAGCCAACAGAGTTGGATGACATTGCGCATGAGCAGGCCATTATTTGTAAGCAGTTATTTGCAGGTCACTTGGTGGGCTCTCGGCCAATGAAAAGGAAAAAAATTGCATCGAATGATAATGTCAATTACCAGTCCTTGTATCATGTCTAGCCAATGAACAGTCCCTTTAAATTAAATGGCTATAACTTAGCTAGACTTTTAAAAGCTTTCCCCAGCTTACCTGGAGGCCATTTCTTCATCCGTCCAATTATTTTCTTCTTTGATTATCTGATATCTTTCATGGTGCAATAACCTTGTTCCATCGTACAAGGAAAGTTCTCGCTCACTGATGAGCCTACGAGGAAAGAAAGCCGAAAGGGTTCTAGTTATCTATAATCACAAAGACACCGTCGGTAGATGATTACACTAATATGGAGTGGAACGGCAAAACGTTTCACATCAGTGACTAGTAAGTAAAATGGACTTTAAAAAAAATAATGCTGTTACAAGAGACGATCCGCAGGGACAATTTTTAGCGTAACACAGCGTTGCAATGTTGGAAAAATGTTACAATCATTCGAAACAATGTCGCAAAAATGTTGTGATGCTGTGTTGCACTAAAAATCGTCGCTGCGAATCGTCCCGTGTAACATTACCTAAATGTAGACTAGCCTTGAGGTTACAGTATCTCTTAATTAATAGTATACTAGGTAGGAAAGATGAAGGAGACTGATGTTCCCGAAACTTCGTGTACATATTAAGGACAACAACAACTCGCCACATGGTAAGTTTCATCGATTTTTGTTTCCATTTTCTAGCACATTTCCGGACCTAAACTTCGCCCCATACGTTCTCTACATTTACTCATGTTATGAAACCCGTACGTGACACAAATAGTCAGCCTGGGTTACCTGTAGTCAAATCCTAAAAAGCACGCACGAAGGAGATGGTTTTTCACGAAAAACCCCTAGGAAAAAGCTGATTTCATTTGCTAACTGACTGGTCTGGCCGGCCAGTTCGGACAAATGGAAAGCACCCTTAGTACCATTGAGGAGATATCACTTTTCTCCTTTTGCTCAAGTTACCTCTGCAGCACAGCAAGCGTGCCAGGGTTTACCCTATGAATTCCGTCCAGCTCTGCAATGTTTCCTTCAAGGGCAGCCATCACCAGAGGAGAATATCGCCAGCTTGTGTCTCCACTGGGCAGCGTTATACGCTGCTGGAGAAGATCTCTTGCTGTCATGTCCTGTTTTATTGGAAGAAAAAAAAGAATTGATTCCGTACTCTTTCAAGTTTTTAAAATTTCATGACTTTCCATCAATGAAAGAATGAATGAATGAATAACTTTATTTACCGCGGGTGACACATTACAGTTAGGAACTGGTAAACTTGTGGCCCTCCATGACTTTTTCCATGATCTTTTTCTAGTTTTCCATGACCTTAGGTTTACATACAGCTTTCATTTTCGAAAATTTTCAACACTTAACTTGTTTTAGCCTATTTTTCCGGGCTTAAACAGTTCAACAGAAACAAACTCTAGTATCCACCAAAATGCGTGCCGTTCGCCCTGTTTAATTACTCCTCTTTATCCTACGTTATCCTTGCTTTGTCATCTGCAGTAACTAATCCACCAAACCAAACTTCAATTTTCCATGACTTTCAAGGACTGACAATTAAATCCTTAAATTCCATGACCTGTACGACCCCTGTTGACTTCTTGGTAATTCGCTACTTTAGAATCGTGGAGACTGGGTTGAGTTATCTTTCGCAAAGACCTCTGGGATAGTAACTAGGGATGCGCCAGTCAGCTATTGACTAATTTTTTCACCCTGTCCCAGTAACAATCCCAGAAGTCTTTGCAAACGTTACATTGGTCCAGTTTCCTTCTAGTGAGTGTTCTTATTTCTTAAGTGTGGCAAATGTAATTGAAAGTTCAGGCGACCAAGATGGCAGCCAATTATATTAACCGGAACATAAAAAAAAACAACAACAACAACAACCTTGCACACGCATCAAACTTAAGTACTGATATACCTGAAAGAGGACCACAGGTTCAATGTTGTAACCCAGAAAATCAGCAAACTGCTGCACCAGTACACTTTTACCACAACCCTAAAAGGTAAATTAACGTAACCAGTCATCTCCACATAAAGTCAACGAGCGCATGATCAACAAAATAAAAATCAGTGGTATTTCCCCCCAGCCTGATTCTCAGATGATCTAGGGTGCCCATAGCCATGCACTTGAGTGGATGCTCATGGTTACTCTTGGTCATACACACTCTCACTTGTGGTCACGCACTCGCATGGCTACCATCGACTGGGAGTGTCTGAAAATCAGGCTAATATTTCTACCCAGTTTTCGGTCACCTTGTTCCCAGGGCCCTCTCCTACTTGGCCTTCTTACATAATATAAAGCAAAGTCTCATATAAAGCAAAGTCTCATATCTAGTGTCAGAAATCATGATCAATCAACTGTGTCACTTGACAGGAAATCATATCAAGTGAAAATTAACTCTTTCTGCCCCATTATCCACATACAAGAGCTTGAGACTGATGTCCATTTATTCCTTGATAAATTAATTGAGAGTATTTTGTTAAAAGATCAAAGCATTATATTTCCCCTTCCGTGATCATCATATTAATCCTTGTAACCTTTCCACTTGATTATGTATGAACATTGTTAGGAGAAAATTGATGTTGGCCACTCTTGGGACTTAAAAGGCTAATAAGACAGCTAGAGCATTCTATGTTAAGTAACTATAAATGAAAAAAAAATTAACAGAAGTAAATAAATTTTAAATTATTCATCTTTCTTACTTTGGGTCCCACTAGACAGAAATCATGAACTGAATGTGACTCCAACATGTCTGCCAACACCTTGGAATGAGATTCTGTCATAACAAACTGCAAAATTAAAACACAATATAAATATGCATGAGAAACTATCTTTTTGTTAACATTTCTTCTTCTTGTTTTATTTTTCTTGGCATTGTTAAACAGGTTTTAATAATGTATGTAAGTACTGTAACATGATATAAATCTTTGTGACACTTTATAGTAAGATTTTTTCCCCTTTCGATATAGCAAAACAAGTGAAACCATGCCCGCTGATTTCTTGCACACAGGCTTGTTAAACCTGGTAAACATTGCCCAGTATTTTTTGCCAGTTTTCACTTTTTTCTCTGAGTAAAACAATGTGCAAAACAGGGTTGGCGTTCTTTACTTTCTTTGTTCATTTAGCAAAAGCTTCATGTTTTACTACCAAAATGTTACTCCACATTATATTCCAGAAAACAAATATCATGATAGCATTTCATTATCAACAGTTGTATCACCTTTAGTTCATCAGATCTGTTCTTCTTTATATAGTTTGCCTCACTACCAGCAGGAGTCTGAAATACAGAGTTCCACTTCTTTGTTTTGATTTCCACGGATGCCATAGGCACTGAAGAATCCGCAGTAAATTTTTCGATTGAATTAACTGATGTCAACAAAGGTTTGTTGCTTCTATCATTGAGATTAAATGTCTGCAAAAGAAAGTAAGAGGGGAATATAGAAGGTTAATTGTGTACTCTAAGAGCACTTATTCCAAAAGTCAGAACTGGCTGGCCAGACTGGTCATTTTGAAAATGAAATATTAGAAGTGTTCTCTAAAGTTTTTACTAAAAGCCATTAATACTGTGCACACCATTTAGGAATAAAGTCATCTACATGTAGCTGAATAGTCCTGATCAACAGTGGAACTCTCCTTACAACTAGACTGGTCTGGCCACTAAGTTCTGGCAAATGAGTGCTTACCATTGGCCATGATTCACTGGCCAGACCAGTCAATCTGTAAAGAGAATTTCACTTTAAATCAGAAAAGTCCAGCAAGGCGAGTCTGCTCCTATAGTAGGCATGGTAGTGATGGATTCTTAGTGAACCCTCTTGTAAAAAAACTTGGAAAAAACTGATGTTGATCACTCTTGGAACTTTAAGTTTGTCATCATCTCTTTACTATAAAGTAGGCTCCATAACATATCCTAGCACAGCGCTAGCAAAACTATTAATTTATGTTATAAGCTTGTAAAAATAATAACAACAGTTTTCACCTTGAGTGCATCCTGGACAACTTTTTGCCCATCATCTCCAAGTATAAGTTCATGAGGATATAGTCTGTGAATGAGTTCTTCCAACGAATGTTTTGGATTTATGTCCTGCAAAAAACTAGGGGTAAGTATGCAAGCAATTCATTGCTTTATCTGAAGCTATTATGGAATCAAGAAGCAAAGCAACCAGGTTTAATATCTCATGTACAAATTTTGAAGTGTTTTCTATCTTGAAATATTTTCAGTTATCATTTGTACAAAAAATTAAAAAACAGAAGTAAACTTACCATTATTCTTACAATATTTACAAGATTGTGAATTGGAAAATCTGGAAGTCCAACAGAAGCCAGCTCTGTTGATTGTAAGGTGTGTGCAAAGGAGGCAACTTGTGCTAACCTACAGACGCAAAATTTACATGGAAATTACAAACATAACCTTAGATAACGAAAGAGTTGAGGATCATCTAGCCTGAGAAAACAAGCAACACTCCGCCACTCCGCCACCCAGGACTGAGCTGAATGCTTAGAGATCCTTGGGGTCCTCTTACAATCAATGACATGATGGCTATGATGAGGATGATGATGATAATTTATATGATGATGATGATGATGATGGTTAACAGGATGGTTGTGGTGGTAGTGATGATGATGATGTGCAAAATTATGCAGCATGACTTGGATGATTAATCAGTATTAAAAAATTTGGATGGTAAGATACCTGTATATTACCTATCACTGGTCATTAAATAACACGTAAGTAAATCCTGTTGGAACCACTGGTAAACGACCTCGTCTTGAAAGTGACCCAACCACTTTTTGGGAGATGGTTTCATAATTTTCCAATGTTTTTAACCTCTTAAAGAGTGTATGCAACCACTTGACTCATAGTCTGATCTCTGTGTTTGCTTTATGAACTTCACTACTCAGAATGTGTGAAGAACACAAAAAAGTGGTTGTGGTTGGACCTCTTCCTGGAATAGATCCCCTGTTTTTCGATACTTGAAAGTGGCCACTGAGTTTTTGCAATTGTATGGTTACTTACAAGAGGCTCCACAGTATTTTGAAAGTTTATTGCAAACCTTTCTTGTGGTAAATGGGGGCAAGATGATTGCAGGACAGCAAGCTGGTCCTATAAGAAAAAAAAAGTTCAAAACATTAATATAGATCTATGTATTCCAGGGATGTACAGGACAACTGCTACAGATATAAATAGACCAGTTTTGATATGTTAAAATGTATACTTGGAACCAAGGGGAAATAAAACAAATTAAAGATATCACCTTTATTTGGGCTTAGGGATGAATAATACATTAGAATTCAAAGACGAACATAACATGCATTTGACTAAGTATTTTCAACTCTTACCTTAAAAGGTAACAGATGAATGTCTCTTGCTTGAAAACGTGATCGCAAAGGGGGATCTAAAGGGTTTCCATGGTAACGAGGCACAGGTAACCCAAGAGCAATCACTCTGAAGTCTTCACTCACACGCACAAGCTTCCATGCTTTCAACTCTTCTTCAGAATGTTCCTGGAAAGAGATCAAAAAATGAAATCTCCTGTATTCGCCATCATAAGAATTCTCAAGAGGGCAGAAGAAACGGGGAGAGATATTATATAATCATTATCTAATAACTAGTTTAACAACGTGGCATGTGTGTGAACATATCATTAATTTCAAACCCATAAGCAATGCTCAGGACTATACTTGGCTCGACTTCGAATGGAACAGTATTAAAGAATAATAATAAAGTTCAAGATCAAGTCTTAATTATCAAAACTTGATCTTTTATAAAGGAAAGGTGTTAAGATCCCTGATCAGATACCCCATCACCAAAAATGAAGTGAACAATTGTTTACTTATTGTTGATATTTGTACGAAGACCCACTTACTATAATATATTATGAAATTTCTAGAAATGTGGATTAAAGACATAGACAAAACAGTTGTTAAAATCATCTCTGGCCCTAGCTATCAATATGTGAATTGTTACATTGATGTAGAGCCTTGTGTTTTTGATTGATTATTTATTGATTCATTTATTGATTTATTTTTTTGTAAACTTGCGACATGTCCCCTTAGGGATACTGCAATTCACATAGATGTAGATGAAGATGTTACTTAGTCCGTAGAAGTAAAATTCACTCAAAGTCAGCAGTGGCCTTACTTTTAAAAGAGAATCATATCTTTCAGCTGCCATCAGGAATCTTCCATCCTCTAATTGCATCTCCCTTGAAGAAGTACAGTAGGAAGTAAGTCAAGCGAACATATGGATACCCAATAAAAACCTTTTCAGCAAAAGCTTTTCTCAAGAAGAACAATAACAATCAAAATATGAAGATTAATATCATGAAGTAAATTCCAGATCTTACTAACCGGTTTTCAAGAAGGTTGTTTAACACTGGTAGTACATTTCGTTCAGCTTTTTCAATTCCCTCAAGCAAGAGCACTCGTCCTTTGGTAGCTGCACGCACAGCACACTGATCAACATAATATGCAGTGCCTGATGAGATTTCTCTCCTCTGTTTGAGATCTGACTCTGTTGTGTCACGTGACAATGCAATGTATTCAATCTCACGCTTGGTCAGTTCCTGAAAAGGATGAATAAATTATTTTAAACCTCAAATTTTCACAGACCAGAAATTGTCAATCAAAATAATGCACTTAGCTCACTTCAAAGTAGTTCAAAGCATTTGTTGATGCTGATCAGCCAAAATTTTGTTTTGGTCTACATTTTAAAAATTATTTCCTATTTAATAATGTTTGTAATATACATCTGTACATCTTTATTCTGTAAAGCACTATTGATCTGCATATAATGTAGATAGTGCTATATAGATTATATTATTATTATTATTATTATTATTATTATTATTATTATTATTATTATTATTATTATTATTATTATTATTAGCCTCAGCCTTAAATTATTTCAAAAGGTTTTTGGAGAGGCTTGAATTATTTGTGAGGAAGGCTTGGAATATATAGGCTGGTATTTTCAATAATATTGGATACCAGTATGTATCTCTTAATGATTTAATGATGTGAACAAACAGGATACTATAAACAAAAATGATCAGTGACATGTAAATTTATCAGACCAATCAGAGAGCATGTATTTCCTGGAAGAAACAAATATTATTATACTATAATATATTTAAAAATTTATTAATCATTAGATTTACCAGGTACTGCATGGCCAGTAGTCTCCTGGATGGTCCTGGAGATCCAATGAGAAACACATCCTGACCCAGTTTGTCCTGTTTTAAAAGAATGTGCATTAACAAATGATATAAACTACTATTTCATGCAGCCATTTTTTGCCTCTACAAGCAAGAGCTTTTCTTGATGAGACAAAAATGGGTCCATAGGAGACTAACAAAGCCTTCCACTGCACAATAATATCATATCTTAATACAACAAGCACTGACAATATTCATGGTATAATAATTATTAATATTATTAATTACTAATAATTAATTATTTATTATTAATAGTTATTAATATACCTTTTGCATGATCCATCTCAAATTTTTTAGAACATACTGAGGAAACTCTCCACTTGCTTAAAAAAAAGAGAGAAAGAAGAAATATTGGGTGCTAAGACAATATTGTGTTGCATCCTGTGTGAGAGTTAAAAAGGTGTCTGGAATAAGAGTAACAAAATCTCGATCAGACCGTATTGGATTAACCCCTGTAATGCTATCCCTAACCAGTTAACCATGATTAAAGAATTGAACCAATCCAGTCCAGTCATTGTCCAGTCATCTACTGCGAAACAGTTTCATCCGACCTCTAATGAACTGCTAAATTCTCCTAATTTTCAGATAGGCTCATGTATGCATGTTAAGCAAAGGGAGCTGTAAGAGTTTGAATCATATTTTGTGAAGAGTTCAATTATTTTAGGGATCAGTATTTAGGAGTGAAAATAAGCAATAAAAATACAGCAAACTTCCTTACTTTGTCTTCATGTTTTATCTACTGCATGCTATTTTGGCATTTTGAGCCATTTTGGAGCAATTCCAGTGAGTTTTAGTCATGTACAATGTACTTATACATTAGTCCTTCTATTATATAAAAAGTTACATTTTATTAATAGAGGGGGCAAAAGCATGACTAAAACTTGCTGGAATCACTTTGAAATGTCCCTCCTCACCCCCTCCCTCACAAAAAAGTACACCATATTTTTATAATTACTATTTTTGATTCTCATACAATGTACTGTGACTTCTGTGCTTGGACTATCTGTGGATCTAAGAAAGGTGACATACAACTTGAAGGTACCTTGACTAAATATCAGTCTTTCAGGACTGTTTTAAAGAAAATATATCACTTGTTACTCACCATATTTAACTGGGACCAGTTCAGGAGATGAGGGTTTCTTCAGTTTGATACTCACATCTCCAATGCTAACACTGCTATCTGTTTCAATAAACAATGACATTTCTTATGCTCAATCAAAACAAACCAAAATGGTTGCCTATAAAGATGTAACATCGATTAATATTTTTTAAGGCTGCATCAGTCAATATTAGAGTTATTCTAAAAGAAAACTGTGAACACTATGACTGTTTCTGGAATTATCATAATGAAAATTCATCTGTCTCTGTACCAAAGAAGCAAAATTTAATAAGTAATGAACAGCATCTACATTAATTCAGACCTGCCAATGCAAATCCCCTGGTACCACTGAGGGTCTTCATGGATTAAGTGAAGATCCCCCAGTCGCAGGTGAATAAATTTATTGCAAAATTCTCATGGCAAACTGACGTAACCAGTTATTTAAAAAAAATAAATAAAATTTGCCAATTGCTTATTTGAGTTTGAGTGGGAGGGAGTGGGGGGGTGGAATAGGGTGGGCACTTATTCGAGGCTGGGCACTTATTTGAGGTGGGTGCTAATTCAATTTTCAAGGTTGGGCACTTATTCAAATAAATACCGTAAAATTCCGAAAATAAGCCCCAGGGCTTATATTTTTCAAAGGCCCTTTTAGAGGGGCTTATTTTTGGGACGGGCTTATATTAGGAGGGGCTTATCTACGGAGGGACATTTGCATCTCAAAATCGATTGGTCTAGCCTTATAGTTGGAGGTTAATTTACTGTTTCTGCTTTGTTTTACTTTGTATTTCAGGGCAATTTTCCAAGTACAAACCCCCGGGGGGCTTATCTTCGGAGGAGCGATTTGACGGAGGGTTTTTTGCGTTACCGGTTTGGGGGGCTTATATTTTGAGGGGCTTATTTTAGGAATTTTACGGTATGGTATCAAATTCTACCCTCCTCCCCTCTATAAATGGAAAGGGATCAAATACCTGGAGTATGCCCGGGGAATAGTGAAGCTTCGATTTGATCAATACATAAAATTATTTTCATATATTAATTATGCATTTATCATACCTGACGACAGTGGTCTCAGGGGAACTCTGAGGCAGTTAGCCAAGGCATCAAGGCGCTTTACGGCTTTACCTTTCGACATTAACAACCTAAGCATGTGTGTAAGCTTCAAAAATATCACCGAAGTCTATCCGTTATAAAATATATCTACAGAAAGCAAAGTTTACAAGCTTAATATGCATGCCGGGTATCCATGTGAGCTTGTACAAGCTTACGTAAGATCTTCAAGCTCGTAGTTGCGAACGGAAATGTTATAAAACGACTTCGACGTCTTCCAGAACATTCATGAGTTATCAAACTAAAAATTCCTGACCATTTGCGAGACATTCTCCCCGCAAATACATAGTGATTTCAAGCGAATAATTTGTACACGTGTCCGCCATATTGGATTGAGTATCAGATGGAAGGACTGGGGCCTATATTCGTTCCTTTTCCATTTCCCACTTCCCAGTCTTTCATTGCTATTTGTTCAGTTTTCATTTACAGTGCATTGAGTTCCACTTTTGACTGTACTTCTTGCTTTGAATTGCAAATAGGTCAAAGTTACAAGTTTTATTCTGTTATTCTGGTCATTTCTCTCTCAAAGGTACGGTCGGTAGACTAAACAAACTCGAGAGGATTATCTCTTCCACGGCACCAATGTTTTGCTTCAGTGGAGAATTTCCTTCAGCGATGTCGATCTAAAAAGCTTCAACTTTCCCAAATCACAATTTTCCCAAAATTAATATACAATATGCGCTATCAGTGTTATTAAAAACTTTGGTACGTTTGTCAATTTTGGCAAATTTTGCCATGCAAATCCCGGCAAGTAAGCGCGATTTTCGTGAACGTGATACGGAAGCAGTAAACTACTTCCGGTGTCAGCAAAACGTTTGAACTTTGTAGATCTTTACAACGATATCAAAAACAGGAAGTCTACAGAAACAGCAGACCTTAAAGAAAATGTCCTTAAACTTTGTAGAGAAATGATGTTCACTTTTCGTAAAGTTCATACTCTATATTTAGCTCCGATGATTTAAACCGGAAGTCAGATGCAAGAACTGCTTGGACCTTTGCGGATCGCATGGAAACCGCGCCTTGCTGAAAAACTTCCAAGATGGCGTGAAGATGTTTTTCTTCACTCAAAATGCGCACAGCAATAACCGTAGATTGGCATCTAAGGGTTTACCTAGGGTAAAGACATTTGGACAGTTTGGTGTTAGAAGCCATCACAATCGGATTTTAACGTGATTTTCAAGGAGCGCGCTATGCGGAAAATCTACCCGCAATCATGTCGTGCACTTCTCTTGCTCATTTTGTGCTTCGACATCGCCTCGGCTGCAAAGAAGGGAAGTTATAGCGTCCCTCTTCGGCGAACGAAAAGGGACCTGCGAGATAGTCGTGGAAATCCTACTGAAAACTTAAAGGGTCGTCCTGGGCAAGGTTATTTCATCGCAACCGATCTAGGTACTCCCGCTCAGCGAGTAAGTACAGGCACACTTGATATTTACGCGTGATACATGTATGATCTTCCTCTGTAATTTAACACCTCTCTGCTCGGGCTAAAAAAAATAACTTTTCTTTCCCCACTTGTCCTTTTTAAGTTTTCCTATCAATCACATTTAGTTCGTAGTGGTTTCTGTGTAATACTATTAAAAGTTTAGCTTATGTCTAGATATAGCTTCGCTTCAAGAAGTTTATTAGTTTGTTGAAATAGATATCCTTGATGTGGGTTTCTTTTCACAGTCGACGGACAGATGTATGATGTTTTGTTGCTTAAACGCACTTATCTTCGAAACCTTCCGCTTCATTTATGCTTATATACATTTTATTTCGATACTGAAGGAGTACTTTACGCACCTTTATTGCTGATAATCTAGTTGTTGAGTATGAAATTATGTTGAGCGCTTGCATCGAGGCATGTTTTTCAATCAGTCTTGAATTGTAAAACGTTTTAACAGAGGACGCACAATATGATTGACTTTCGATGTTTGTCAAGCTCTATACATGCTGTTTGGTGAATCATATTTTTCGGTAAATTTATATCCTTTCAGACTAAACAAGCAGCTTAAAGGATAAATAAATTATGTAAAGTGCATATAGTCTAGTTTT